ACCATAAACCTAAACAATGAGTTTTTTCCTAGGATAACAAATACACCTATTCACTGCAGAATGCTTCCTTCTCATCATCTATTAATCTCAATTTATTGTGACAGGGTTCAGCCTAAAAATCTTCACAGGTATGTGTGAGTTCGAATCTGTCAAATGGATACAGCACTTGGTCTTCATTTTCAGATGCTGTAAATAAAGTCAGTACTCTAGAAAATGAAAAGTGCCATACAAACACAGTAGGAGGTATCATTATTAATATTTTAATAAGGAAGTCTAGTCAGCTTGTATTCATTCATTTGTTCACTCAGTTAAAGAAAAAAATAAAGACTAATAGCAACTGAAAATTGAGCACTGAGTCAAAAAGTTTTATAGCCAAGAACTTGATTCAGTACAGAGTCTAGGTAGGCTCTCAGATATAAGGTTCAGGAAAGAGAAATGGGATAAGTTTTTTAAAGCCAAAAGACTGCTTCTGTCCCATTTTAAGAAAGCAAAGTGTCTGAGTGGGCTGATGGCTGGTTAGATCTGGACTTGCAGGTTTTGAAAGCACTGGGCTGGCTGCTTGCTATGGAGGTGGCTCAGAATTACGGAGTTCAAATGTCTCTCCAGGGGATGCAAGGTGCCTGACTCAAGACTGTTGCATGCAGCTGCCTGATGTCTGAGTCAGGAGTATGTTGTCCAGTCAGGTCTGCTATAGTGTCAACAGGCTAGGTGGCCAGGACAAAGATTTTTAATTGATTCAAGAAGTTGAGTTCCTAGACTCGTTACCAACCCCATCCTTCTTAGCTCAAGCTTGGTCGCCTGCCACGTGCTCCCATAATACTCCTTACTTACCTTACATGTTTAGTATCACATTCTAGTGCTTTTTAATTGCCTATCTTCTCTACTCTACTATAAAATTCAGCAGTGCAAAGACCATGTCTATCTTGTTCAAACCAGTACCTAGCACAGTGCTGGACATAAGGTAGATCTATAATACATATTTTATTTAAAAAAATGAATGAGACTATGCAAGACACTGTGCTAACTAAGCAGGAAGATGGAAGAGACTGAAACATAATAAAATGAGAATTCAAAGTCTGTGGAAAGACAACAAGCAAATGGTGTGGGGCTAGATTTTGTGAAGACAGAAGCTTATATAAATTGGAGAGGCTGATTTAAGAAAATTAATACAAAATTATAAATACAAAGTTAAGTGCCTCATCTTGGAAGAGGTTCATGTGATTGAGCAGAATTGATGTTTAAGTGTCATCTTCACAACAAATGCACCTCTGGTGATAAGTGGACTAATAATGTACCAAGTACTGTGGAATCTCTGAAAAGCAATCAGAGATCTCTGCTAGGGAAAACAAAGATTTCACAGAAGAGATAAATTGTGAGCTTGATCTTACAGAAAGAAGGGAAGGGATTGCAGGTGAAAGAAACATGCTGAAACACACAGGTGAGCAAGAGGTAGAGCTATTGTGGGACAGTGAGAAGTACTATTTGGTTAATGTGGAATTGGGTAGGGAAAGTTTTAGGATACTGGTTCTCAAAGTGTGATCTGGGCCCAGCAGCTTCAGTGTCATCTAAGAGCTTCTTAGAAATGCAGCTGTTTAGGCTTTAGCCCAGACTTACCCAATTAGAAACTCTGGGGATAGAGAAAAAAAATCTATATTATAACAAGACCTCTGGTGATTCTGACGCAGTTAAAGTTTAGAAACCAATGTCTTAGGAAGTTAGCCAAGTATCAGATGAAGTTATTTTATTCTTATAAGTTTAATTTAAAGCTGTTATACAAGATGGAGAGTAACAAGAAAAAAAGTATCATGATATAAAGAATTCGACTCATTGAATTACAAATAAATTACAGATAAACTAAAAGTTAAGGTAAAAAAAGCAACAGGTCTTGGGTTTAAGAAAAATTTATTTCAGCAAAAAGCCAGTAATGGTATCTGTAAAGGAAAAGATTACTAGACTTGATTTCACAACAATTTTAAACTTCTGTACCATAAACAAAATTAAAAAGAAAGCAACCAAGTGGGAAGAAATATATACAACATATGTTTCATGTAAAAAGCTTGATTATCCAATATTTAACTGGTTACTTACAGCACAATCCCCAGGTAACATTAATAGCATAGAGAATATTAATGCCACATTGAGTGGGGTGGGGGGAGGCTGTTATAATAACATAGTAACATCCTATTTTTTTGAATAAAATTCTGTTAGGACATAGATATAAAAATAACGGGAAGATATTGAGCAAAATGTTACATTGGTTAGCTCTGGGTTGTACGGATACAATAAATTCTTTTGCTTTTGATACTTTTCTATTGTTTCCATTATATGATAAACATGTATCCCTTTTCTAATCAGGAAAAAATTAAGCTATGCTACCAGTGTGGCAAAAAGTTGGATGAATGATGACTCTTAAAGTAGTAACAGAATATAACAAACTTTACAACTTGCTACCCTTTTGAGATTTGAGGGCTTTATCCCAGCTGCCAACACCTTCCTTTAAAAGAAAGGAGAGGAAAAGAGCCATGCAAAAGTGAAACTGGTGCATGTACCCCAGCTAATCAAACAATATCAAGTTTTCTCTGATTTGTGATTGTTAAGTGACATGCAAACATTGCAATGTTCTTTACTGTTTGGGTAAGTGCAAATAGTGTGGGTTTATTTAAGTACGTCTGGGGAGAGGAAATCCCGGGGCAAAATGCCTCTATAAACTGAAATCAGTCAAAGGGAGAACTAAAGTTTAAAACCCATTTACTGCTTATAAACTGCAGTCCAGGGCCGTCTCTCTCCCCTCTGCTCCGGCAGAAGCCAGCATGCAAACCAGTCCCCTCCCCTTAACCTCTCAGGTTTCAGACAAGCCCTCGGTTGCCCAGGTTTACCCACTGACAAGATGAACTTCTCTCCACCGCTGAGGATATGCAAACACACTAAAGCCAGGTGAGATATTCTGGAAATGTCACAATTTTACCCACTAATGCACTGAGGGTTTAAGAAGGAATGTGTGTCTGCTCTCACTTCAAAATGTTTTGGAATAAAACTTTAGTCTAGAATGTAAAGATCTTGTTTCGCGCAGGGCAACGCGTGAGCAAAACAGTAATTTTAAAGGGGTCCCATAACACCCCCTTGAGGCTTCCACTCTATCATGTCGAGAAACAGCCCAACCAACAGGGAGGAGGGAAAGATACTGCTCTTTATTATAAATTCAACAAACCTGTGTCGATTCATGATTCTGTGGCAGGTACTATTGTAGGATTAAAAGATGCCACTACATCACTTCTGCACTTTATTCAGGCCATGCCAGCATTCATAAACATTATTTCGGCTGAGCACACATAAAAGTTAGGAGCTCAGAAAAGCTGAGCCTCACAAACTAGTGTCTATTTCAAACATGGCTTCCCCCCACCCAACACCCACCCCCCACCCCAAGAAATAGTTAAAGGGATCGAATTAAGGTCTGTGATTATTACTCTCCCCCGGATGGTTGGTTGGTTAGCACTTGGTAATCAGAAAAAGCACAGTGGATATAGATAAAAAGACAGACACGAATTGCACCCTGACTCTCCCAGTGACCTTGAGCATGTGACAATCGAACATGGATGTCATTCATCCACTTAACAATTACTTGATCCGAAATGTTGAGACTACAAACATGAATAAGACAGTCTCTAGACCCTCACAAACTCACCTTTCTAATTTGTAAACTGGGACTAACCACCCCAACTCACTATCAAAAAGATTAAACATATGACCACACTTGTACAGAAATCTTCATTTTTGAAACCTTGTTCACGAGTTTATTTATGCATATTTAATTCTCTCTACATCTGCTCATAGAAGCTAAAGGTAGGAAAAGGGATTAAATCATTTAATCCAATTCCCTGTAACATGACATTCATTCTACCAAAATGTCCTTAGTCCAGGGAAACAGCTAAAGCCTAATAATGAATGACACAACGGTCCTCGAGTTTCGCCCTCCTGCCCTGGGGACAGCATCCCAGCCTTCGTAAAGGCAGACACGGCGGGGCCTTCTCCGTCCCAGCGGGCTGCTGCCCCTCTGGGGCTTGACGTGCCATAAGCCTTGCCTACCACATGTCAAGACCATTTCAGCTGGAGACGGACGGCAAGAAGGCTGCGGCGCGCCGCGCTTCTCCCACTTCCTTGGGGGAGTAGGGGGCGGGAGGACGGGCTGGGAGCGGGAGCGGCAGTTCCTGCGGCGGCCTCGCCGGGAGCAGTCCGGGGTGGAGGCCCCCGCGCCGCCCCTGGGACCCAGCCCGGAAGGGCCTGCGGCGGCGCAGCAAGGCCGGCAGGAGGCACGGGCCGCCGGGCCACCCCCGGGGCTGGGAGCGGGTGGTCCCTCCCAAGCCCGGCGTGCTGCGAATCCGCACCGCGCGATTCTCTGGCCCCACCACCACCTCGTCTTCCCGCCTGTCGGCGGGCGCCAGGGTGTGCGGCGCAGGCGCGGACGGCGGCGGTGAGTGCGGCCGCCGAGCCTAGGCCTGGGGCCTGGCGGGCAGGGCGTGTGGCGCACGGGAGGGACGGGGGCTGGCCCAGCCGAGAGCCCGGGAGCGCTAGGGCTCGAGCGGGACGGCCCGCCGGCCGGGCTGCGCGGCCCGCTGTCGCGTGCTCGGGTGCCGTGGCCGCCTCCACCTCGGAGGAGCGCCTGGGCTGGCCGGGAGGGCCCCGGGAGACCGGTGAGTGCGGGGGCAGCGGGCCGGCCGGGCACCGGACTGCAGCACGGACAGAGCAGCAGGTCCGGAAGGTGTCTTTTAAACTGAAACCCTGCTTTGGTTGTGTGGCGGGTGGCGCCCCTCCCCCATCTCGAAGGCAGTTCCACGCCTCTGCCCGGGCTCGCCTCGGTCCCTGGCTTTTTCCCTTGTGGCGCCTGGCGGAGGGTCTTGGGAGGCCCCGCGGGCCCTAGTGCGGACCGTGCGTGGCGCGGGAGTGAAGGTGGCTGGTGACGCGCGGTCGCTGCAGAGTCGGGGCCCCGGATGCCCGTCGGTGCCATGCTGGCCCTCCTGCCCCGCGGAGGCATCGCTGCGACCCTCCGTCGCGCCGCCAACTGGCAACCGCGGAAAGCAGGCGTCGGTACTGCCTCCCAAGTCTTCAGTCAGTAGTCTAGCCACGCGTTAGGGTGCTTTCAAACGGCTTCTGGTTTTGTTATTTAGTATAACCTAGGGACACAAGTAATTTAAAGCAGTTTATCTTTTTGCAAAGATAAAAATGTGTACTTCAGCAAAGAGCGACACTACGTTGGACGCGTAGTGGGTTCCAGTTCATTCTCTCCAACAGTTTTGGGTTTCACTTAACATCTGTAAGGTATGATTAAAATGAGGGTGAAAAAGAACATACTTTTCAAGCTCTTTAGTATATAATGTACTTTTTATTGTAAATGCTTATTTTTATGCCAGTTAAGAGAATATTTACATTCATGTAAGGCCTTTAAAAAGGTTGATTTGACGTTAAGTTCTGAATGTCTATTATGTGTAGTGTGTTTTGTACATAGACATTATTAGAAAAAAATTGCAGGTGGAAAGATGCTGATACATATTTTGTAAGTTGATTTTTTAAATGTTCTGTGTGGCTTCTTATTTTTGTAAGTGTAAAAATACATATGTCCACCTTAGCATAGGAAAATGTCTAGAATTCTGTACACCAAAATGTTAACAGTGGTTTTTCTGGGTAAATAGATTGTATGTAATTTGATTTTCCTAATTTTCCTTCAGTGACATGTATTACATCTACAGTTTGTAAAGTAGGGAAGAGAGAATGAATAAGTTACATGTGATTGAGAATCTTCCCAGTGGGAGGAGGACTACTGAGCAAATGTTTATAAGACATCCCTGAGTTAAAAAATGAACTTCCTGATCAGGGCAGTTAAGTATACAAAAGGCACATAAAAACATTTGCTGAAATGAAGGAGTTAGCATTTTTGCCCTTGAGTGGGCATCTTACAATCATGTTGGAAGGAGATCAAATAAATATTTGAATATTATTCACCCCTAGGTAGGAGTCAGCCTTTCCTAATCAAGGTGACCCTGTTCCTCTCATCTGATAGTCTGAATCCCAGCCAGCTTGCAACATTAATTTAAATACCATGCTTGGTCTCCTTTTCTTGCTTTTTTTATTACTCAAGTTGGAAAGAATTTGAAGTGTATTCTGAAATAACACAGAGGATACTTGTGACTGATAGTTTTGAATGTTCTCCCTGATACTTTCATTAGATCAGAAGTGTAAGGCTTTTTTTTGGCTGTATAAATTCTAGTATACAGAAGAGGTATTTAGAATAAGTCTTGAAATTTTAGTTTATTACATGAATGTGACAACAGCTCTTTTTTAAAATTTTTACTTAATGCACTTGATTGGAATGGGCTCAAGGAATGCTATTTGTGTTAGTGTTATTAGATGAGGCATTTTATATATATTAATATCATTTCTATAAATCTCATGGTTGTCAGTTTCTTTGAGTGATTCCCTTCCCCTCCTCCAAGTTGGTGGCTGAATAAGAACTGGAAGCGAGGTGGAACTTGCTAGTAGCAGTGATTAGCAATGAAGAATTACTCACATACAGTTCGTTTTTCCAAACCCAGGCGTCGGAAGGCATGCTTTCTCATCTCTGGTTCTGCCACTTAATTAACTTAACTTTCACTGAGTCTATTTCCCTATCAGTAAAATTGGATGGGTTTGATAGTAGCCCCTCTGTACCTCACAGGATTATTGTGAAGATCAAATAAAATAAGGGTTAAGAAAATGCTGAATAAACTAAAAAGTACAATTGTATTACCGTATGATCACATCACATTGTAGTGCTGATATATCCAGAACTTAGTGAAGCAATAAAAACAGTTTGTGAACCTCACATTTCTTACCGCCAGAAATGAGATGGTCTTAGTAATAGTGCTACTATGTATATCACCTTGGTGATAAGAAAGCAGCATATAAAGCTGGCAGAGAAAAACTTTACAGTGTATTTCTTTTTCTGCCTTACTTAACATTCCTTACTTGCCTGCTGCTACAATAAAACAAACACTAATCTTACATGGAAGAGGTAGTTCTGATACTGATGCTAGTCTATTTCTTGAGTTGGGGGAATCACTTTATCTCCCTATTTGTTTACAAAGCACAGGCTTTAAAATTGATTAGATCTTTCTTCAAATCCCAACCCTACCACTTACTGAGTATCCCCTTAACTTTATTATGCTTCTTTCTTCATAAATAACAAGGGGTAAACAATAAGGCTTTTGAGAGAGTATTCTAGATTTTGCATATCATAGGATTACACAAGATATAGTATATGCACAGCCTGGTACATAGTTGCCTGGTACATAGTTGGCGTTCAATGAATGATCGTGATTCTTCTATTGTTTAATAGCCTATGAGGACTACAGGACTTAAACATCTTAAAGTCTGGGATTTGGTGTTTGCTTTCATTATGGCTGGATAAATCAGTGCAGATTTAAATTATTATTTTGGTGTTAAGATATAGCTATTGAGTTAGACTCTCACTTCAAAGAAATAACATGTATACTCATAATTATCAATATATATACAAATTTTTGTACTTAATATACTGTACTCAAAAGAATATTATATTTGAATTCTGTATAAGTTTCCAGTTGATCAGAGATCTAATACCACTGTATTCTTGAGTCTTAGAAATGAACTACGTGTTTGCTTATATGACTT